GGAATGTTTAGCTAGATAAAAGTTGCCAATACTGGTAGCTTGCTCTTACAGCATGCTGGTGAGAGCTCTCACACAGCAGCAGACTGTGTAAAACTCCCTAAAAGCCCTCAAGATCCGTTTTGACAGGAAGTGGGTTGGCAGGGAGTTGGTTTGTGAAGCAGCAGAGCCTGCTTTCTGAGCAGACTTTTTTCACAAGCCCAGCAGCAGCAGCTGGCCCTGACTATGCTCCTGGAAATTGATTCACAGGCAGCACAGTTGGGATTTAACAAGCTCAAGCCCTCCTTTCACTGCTCTGGACAGAAAAAGCCAACAAGTGACAGTGCTGCCCATCTGCAGCTGCCGGTGGCTGCACAACTCCGGGCGCCGGCCGTGCCACCCGAGGCCGGCATCAGATCTCACAAGCCGAGTGAGTCAGGCCTGCTGTGTGACTGGATCATGTGTCTCTGCAGGGCCAGCGTGTTGCGGAACAGTGTGGAAACACACCTGCCTCACCAGCCCTCAAGTGGGAACCCTGCAGTGCTCTACAAGGTGGCTGGAAGGTCTGTGATACACCGATGATGTATTTGGCAAACGGAGGCACGTGGACGCCTGTGTTAAGTAATAGTCAGACACTTTGTAAGACAACAGGGATAATCGACGTCCTTGAGACTACAAACCAGGTGCTGCTTTCTCCCCTGGGAAGCTTTAGTGGAGTACATTAATTATTCAGGCAGAGAATTTCTACCTATATATGTAAACAACATCCTTCAGAAATCCTGGTGTCAGTCATAACTAATTCAAGAGTTATACAGAGGCTTCACATAAGGAATGCATAACTAAGGCAAAAAATAAACCAGATTCAGTAGGCCTTTAACAGCTAGCAGTCTTCTGTGATCATCATTACACTGCACAAGGATTAAGTTCTACCTTTACATTAGAGTTAATATTTCCTTCCATCCACTGTAAATAAAGTACCTATTAAATAGGACAGAAGTACTGCATTATATATTTCTGTTCATTCTCTTCAAAACTGCCATGATGCAACACCTACCTTTTTATACTGAGGAGATGGGGGACCACAGACATAGTCCTTCATCTGGTAGCTTCGACAGGTCAGTACCTGTCCCGTTTGAGTGTGGACATTAACTTCTATTGGGACATAAACGCCAGCTTCAACTCCCTCTTGCCTGTAAAGGACACATGTTTCTTTCATACCAAACTTTCAAACTGTGCAATTAAACACATGCATTTATTACAAGGCAGGATGCTGGTCTGTCCTGTTAACAGACACAGAAAAACAAATAAAGCAGAACATACTCCAGTATTTTTTGTGCAAACTTGTTTAATATCTAAAACTAAGTTTTTAAAGAAGCAGCAGTATTTTATCACTTCAGCTCTGTAAGAAAGATCACTAGAGGTTAACTTGCAAAGTTAGAGAGAGAATACTCCTTAAGAATTAATTACTGTGCAAGCCTGGCAATCTAAAAAAGAGGCACAGTCTGGAGTAATGAGCCAGGCACATATCTTTTATTACCTTCTGCTCAGATAATGAAACGATTGCAGAGTTTTATCTTGCCCATTGTGTTACATTTGAATTAGGGGAAACTCGCACAGCTCCTGCAATGCACATTCCAGTGAATAATCCAAGACACCCTTTGATTTGCGCAAGACGTGCACAGCAACAATGAGCCAGATCAGGCCAAAACCCAACTTCTTTAATTAGAGAAACCATGCTTTCTTAGGAAAACAAAACCAAACTCAAAAACAAGGCTGCTTGTTGTCTTTAGCCATTAGCATTTAGCCACCAAGCCTGAAGAAATACTAAGAAGTAAATGAGGAGCTGAAGCAGCACAATACAGACTTTATAGCACCATTAACTTTAGATGTGCTTTAGGTGCAAGTGGTAACATGGATTTTAATGCTGCTCATCAAATATTTGACAACTTACCTTTCTTTCAAAGACTTAATATCATTTCAAATTATTTAATATACACAACACAGGCCATGTTTTGTGAGTAACTAGGCTAAGTGCAAGTAGAGACTGGAAGCTCCCTGCAGACTCAAGGCCAACAGACTGCAAGGTAAGTCACGTAGGTGTGTGAGAGCAAGAAAACAATAGAGCTAAGTAACCTCTATTGCTAGAATATATGAGGAAGAGTCATGATTCAGTCTGTAGGTTACAGGTTTGTGAAGCTCAGAGGACAAAAGAAAATCATCAGATTTGATGCTGAGACAGCATCAAAATGTATTTGAAGCCAAAAAGTTGAGCCACTTAAGCACAAGATTCCCTTCCCGTATTTGTTATACTAGTATTTCAACTAATGACATGCAGTATCCATTACACATTCCCTCCTTTCCTTCTGGATAACAAAGCACAGACTTCTTTATCAGGCAGGGAGGGGGCAAATAGTGATGATTTTTTTTTTGATTTTTTTTTTTCCTTGAGACATGGAATTTCCAGGAAATAACTTGGTTGAGAAAGTACAAATTTATTTGCTTACACAAAGCCAAAGAATTTCAAGATCTTCAACTTGAAAGAGCTTATACGTGTTTCTGCTGGTTAGGAGCAATCCTTAGAAGAACACTGTTGACTTACTATACAGGCCTCCCATTTCCAGTCCACTTTTGTGGCATCAATGAGGCAGGTAGGAAAAAGCAATCTTTAACACTAGTGACTGTCCTGCAGTTTTTGGTTACCATATAGAACTCAACTCTCTACCACCTTAGCCAGCATGAAAGTTTATGCCCTGTTAAACTAGTGCCAGAGATCTGCAAATTCACAGTATGTAAACAACACTTGCAGAACTTAAAATATAAAGTGCTGTCCCTGTAGGGGGAAACGCAGTGTTACTATGAAAGCAGATACTGCCAAACAGTATCTTTATACTTCTGAAGTTTATGCTTTAGGAAAGCACAGTGAATCAGAAAATTTCAGTAAAGGTCAGCAGAAAGGGGACCAGGAATTTAGTGCTAGGAGGTGATAAAGCAGGGAGGGACATGTGAAGCTCTCTCCAGCCAGAAGCACGCCAGCTAGTTACCCTCTTGTTTGGGACTAACACACCCAACCAGAACTCAGGAGTGCTTAGAGCACCTATTCTCATAATGTGCTGACAGAATTTGGGCAACAGTTTCTGTTGTATTTCAGCTTCACTGTAGGCAACAAAAACCAAATTGAAACTTGCCAAGTTTCATGGCCAAGGTTACAAAGACGTGTCTACGCAGCACAGCACAGCCATAACCAAAATCCCAATAGTACCAGGAAAGGCAGGAGAACTGCATTAATGTAATGCTTTCAGTGGGTTTAATATACCCTGCTTCCTTAACCTCACTATCCCAGATGTCTGCTGGAATTAATTGACAGTGATTAAACGCTCTGAACAAACAATCCTTGTGTACCAGAAGCACCATGCAGGCACATCCTGAAAGCTGCAATAAGCTCTTGACACCAGCCAAAGTTCTGAGTATGAAGTTCTGAGTCCTGCCTTGGACCCTGCAGGAAGGACCCTGCTACTCCTTGATTTGTTTACCCAGGTGGTCCTCCAGACTCCAGCCTGGGTACAGATTGGGAATGACTTGCTCAGGTTGCCCTAAACTTAATTATCAGGCACAGGCAGAACATTCTACACTATGCATTGTAACATTGCAGACAGCCTCTTCCATTCAAAGAGAGAAACAAACATGCCTTAGCTCCCTACTTTAATCTGCCTCAAGCCTGCAAAACTCTGAATCCTTAGAAGAGAAGGCATGCAAAATAACCTCCTCAAAAGGTCCCTTCCCTGTATTAAAGATCTCCTTCTCTTCTGCAAGGTTGCCCTCATAGATTCCTTTTCCACTACAACTGGAGTCTACAGATGTTTGGAGACAGAAATTGATGTCAGTCTCAAAGGAAACCCTAAAGCAACAGGGTTAAATACAGGGTTATCACAGGATAAATACAGAGTTTGGAATAATAAAGTATCACAGGATAAATACAGAGTTTGGAATAATTTACTGAGCAGGACATTGTGAGCACAGGGGTTTCAAAAAAAAAAAAGGAGCCTGACCAATACATCAGCTCCAAATCAAGGTCCGTGCCTTATTAAAATACCCTTAAGTAGTTCTAGCTTGAAAACAAAGCCAGTTTAATCACAAGTGTATTAGATGTGAAGACATGTACTGTGATGTGAAATTCACGTATCAAAAATCCAAAGCATCTTCTTGATTCCAACAGCAAAGCATCCACACAGCTCTTCACCAAAAATTAACCACTACTTTTCAACTGCTCTCTAAAATAGCAGAAGACAGCCAAAGTTAAGTCACCTACTTATCCAGTGAACTTAAATTGCTAGTGTTCATCTTCCACACTATTCCCCATACTTCGTCTCCAGGGCTCTGAACAATGGTAGCTGTACCTCCATGCCAGACAGAACTTGTCCTGCCTTGATGATGGCCAAACTCGAGCTTAAAATCCTGCAAATGAAACCAAAGCAGAGAATCAGTTTCCACTTAAGATAGAGGTTGTTGGCTTAACATGAAAAAGGCAGCTAAAGCAAAGTCTAGAAGTAGTCAGTGGAGTCACTGAAGGAGGAACTGACAGGTGGGATCTGATTCAGCTCCCATCGTACGATGGGAGTCAACCTTTTCCACCACTCCATGAGAAACCACAGCCTTGGCACACAGGAAAGACAGGTCTGGCAGAAAGCACTATTGTTAAAAAGTCTTGGTCTGCAGAGACCTGGATCAACATCCAATCCTCTTGGTAGGCTGGCCTAAACATTAGCAAACACTTCCTAGCAGTGAGAAGACAGCAGGGGTAGCCCTTTTTCAAGAGAAGCACACACCCCCCCAGTTCTGCAGTAAACACAGTAGTGCTGGAGAAATGTCAGCTTGACTTTTGTCTGAGTTGGCAGTGACAGAACTGTGGATGTGCTTCCCTTTGGACAATCTGAAGGGCCCTCAGCTGAGATGCACTATGAAGGAGGGAACTGACTACTGCCTTGTTCTTCCTCAAAAAGACATGCCTACCTGGTGCTCATTCCTTTGCAGATTTTGGTGCTGTTGTAAAACTTAAATGCTATCCAGGAAAACAGTAAGGGGTAAAGAAGCCTACAAGATGGTGAGCACTGGGTCTTGTCCTCATGCACTGACAGAACTACCCAATTGTAAAATAACATCCTGTGTGTTTTTTAGTGTCCTGTGCCATCGTAGCACTCAAACAGAACATTCTTGGGTGTTTTTAAAGTCAAGGAGTATGTGTCCTTGCCAGAGCTTATCCCGGTTTTTGCCAGTTGAAATATTATTTTAAACAGTCAAATCTCTCTTTTTCTTCTAATATCAAATATTATTTTATAGGCAAAATAATGATTTTTTGCATTCTTCCAAGGTAATTTCCCATCCAACTCCATCCACTCAGTTTCCTCTCTGACTTGTTAGCCAATTTGTAGACCCTTCCCTAGCAGTAGAGAAAGGAATGAAAAAACACAACAAAAATCAGACTTTTAGACTACTTGTTAACCACAACAACAAAATCTGGCAAACTAAAGACAAAGAGTATTAAAAACAACAACAAAAATACAAGCCAACCTGATACAACCACACAGCTTTGCTTATTTCTCATTATCACCCTCTTTAAGCGATAACTTTGATTTGAAATATACGCACGTACAGATTAATATTCACTTTCTGAGTCACTTTACCTTCTTGTGATTGCCCTAACAGATCCCAGGGAAAAGGCTGCAAAAACTGAGCACCTGGGAGACTTACACACAGAATAACAGCACTGATCAGAAGACTGATCTAATTCGTGTGTGTGTGTGTAAGAGATAATAATCAGCTTGGCAACACCATACTCCTTACCCCATGAATAGAGTAATCTTCCCCATAAAGTGTCCCACATAAAACTAATTTTCACTGCAAAAAAAGTTTACTTAGACACATCAGTCATCAACCACTGAACAAGCTGCTGCAAAATGGCTTTGCAGTGTTCAGGTCACTGAGTTACTGCGTGAGGAGGACTCTGGACTAGACTGTGCAGGCAGTCAAGCCCTAGGAATTTGCACACAAGTCCAGTTAAGTTGCAGACCGAAGTGGACTATATGTGGACAACTGTTTGCAGGGCAACTCCAAGGAAATACTCCTGTAGAGCCAAGTGCACTTACATCAAAAAACTGCCCATTTTTATTTTATTCGCAGAGCCAGAGTGGTTTGGGTTGGAAGGGACCTGAAAGAACATCTAGTTCCAACCCCCCTGCATGGGCAGGGACACCTCCCACTAGCCCAGGTTGCTCAAAGGCCCATCCAGCCTGGCCTTGAAACACTTCCAGGCACGGGGCAGCCACAGCTTCCCTGGGCAGCCTGTCCCAGCGTCTCACCACCCTCACGCTAAAGAGTTTCCTCCTCGTTTCTAGTTTTGATCCACTACCTTTTGCCCTCTCACTGCAGGCCCTTGTAGTGATTAAAGTAATGATTAAAGATCAACCTTTTCCGGGGCCTGCCCTGCACGGAATCCCTGCCAGCCGACTGCCGGGTACCGCCCAGGGGGTCAGCAGGGGCTGTGCAGACACAGCCAGGTCGGATTCAGCTCTGCAAGCAGGAAAACCCTCCCGGTGCCGTGTGGGCAAGTGCAGCAGGCACTGCAGGGCGGAGGGAGCAAACACTCCAGATGCCTGCTTGGGTCAGAAGCCTGGTCTTTGGCCCTTCTTCTAAGCACCAGTGCAATACTTTTTCGTAGAATCACAGAATCTTAGGGGCTGGAAGGGACCTCGAGAGATCATCTAGTCCAACCCCCCTGCCAGAGCAGGGTCACCCAGAGCACATCACACAGGAACGTGTCCAGGCAGGTTTTGAATGTCTCCAGTGAGGGAGACTCCACAGCCTCCCTGGGCAGCCTGTTCCAGTGCTCTGTCTCTCTCACAGTAAAAAAATTTTTCCGGATATTCACCCTGAACCTCCTCTGCTCCAGCTGGCACCCATTCCGTGCTTGCCATGCATCCCATTCCTTACTGTTTTGGCTGAGGATTAACAAAGTTATCAAACAGAAGAGCGCAGAAGCAACCTGAACATCCCAGTTTAGCACCTGAAGGGCTCCCTCGAGAGGCCGGTTTTGGGTGCTTTTTCCTAAGCCCGCTGCCACAGGGCAACTACCAAACCGGCTCCAACCTTCGCGCCCTCCCCCGCTCCCGCAG